CCACCCAGACCCCAGGAGAGGACTCTTGGGTCTCGTGCAAGAAAGAATTTGAGGCGAGTCCATAAAGTGAAAGCGGGTTTATTAGGGCGGTAAAGGAATAAGAGAATGGCTCCTTCATAGGCAGAGTACCCCAAAGGCTGATGGTCGCCCATTTTTATGGTGATTTCTTGATGGTATGCTAAACAAGGGGTGGAATATTCATGCTACCCTTTTTAGACCGTATAGGGTAGCTTCCTGATGTTGCCACAGCATCTGTAAACTGTCATGGCGCTGGTGGGGGTGCAGCAGTGAGGACGACCAGAGGTCACTCTCGTGGCCATCTTGGTTTTGGTGGGTTTTAGCCGGCTTCTTTACTGCCAGCTGCTTTATCAGCAAGGTCTTTAGGACCTGTATCTTGTGCCGACCTCCTTTCTCATCCTGTGATTAAGAATGCCTGACCGTCTGGGAACGCAGCCCAGTGGGCCTCAGCCTCATCTTACCCAGCCCCTGTTAACGATGGAGTTGCTCTTGCTTCAATGCCTTGGACCCGTTGGCTGTCAGATCCTCTTACACCAGGCTCTCTCATGTGCTCCTGTGGACATGAAAACACGACCTGATGAGAAATCGGATCTTTCTTGCCCATTAGGAGACAGTCTCCTGGTGCACATTCCCCAAGTGGTAAAATAGCTTTTTAATCCAGGAGCAGTTGGACTGATGGAGACTGAGAGCTGGTCTGTTCCCACGGGGCTCCCCGTGGGGGGGTGCCGGAAGAGATCTGTGTGTGAGTTGAGGGCAGCCGCGCCCATGCAGTGGAAGGTTCTGAGGATCAGCTGTTCCCTGCAGGCAGCTGAGGGTCCCAAGAGCTCAGTGCATGCCAGGGTGGGCCTCTGGTGAGCCCCCCAGGCCTGGAAACATTTGTTCAGCATTAAATGCCTCGTTTTCAAGCCTTATCTTTGGTACCGCTATCTAGAAACACATCTCGGGAAGTCACAGTGTGTGAGTCTGCGCTGCCAACTGTCAGCTGTTCTCTCAGCACCTTGCGTGGCCACGGGTGTGCGTCCTAATTGTGTTCTTGCCCTTTTGTTTTTGTTCTCAGAGCCCCTCCTCTCCCGCAGCCGCCTGCCCTCTTGGATTTCTGTCGGACTCAGCAGTGCAGGGGCCTGGCTGCTTTGGAAAGGGGAGTGCCCTGCCCTCCCGGGTCCCTCAGGATAGGGCCAGCTCTTCCGGGAGGACTGCCAGGCGCCTCTCTCTTCTTTATTCGCTGATTTAAAACTATTAATGAAACTCTCCTGACACAGGAATCTCTCAGAAGTGTGGAAAATGTTCTTTTCCACCTGACAGATCAGGAGTCTCCGTGTCCACGAGGTGTCTCCCATGTCCTCTGACTTCTCCAGACTGAACTTAGAGATCTCATTTCCCACTGTCTGAGCCACCCCAGGTCAGCTTCAGCCAACGTTTTCCTTACCCAGCTCCTCCCCGCCACCTGCTCCAATTCCCCAGCTCCTGTGAGCTGACAGCTAATGGTAGATGGCTGCTAAATTTATTTCAAATTGTCCTGGATACAAATGACAGCACCTTAATTCCCAGACTTGGAGTTGAAGGAACTATTTTCAACTTCAGCATCAGAAAATGCTGAATAAGTATTTACTAATAAGTAGATACTTATTAATAAAATAAGTAGATACTTATACCTGCATCTTTCGGTATAAGACAAATGATATACGTTAAAATTTTTTATTTTGTTGTTAAAATTAGAGATATAATTTACATAACATAAAATTCACCATTTTATCACCATTTAAAAGTACACAATTTGGTGGTTTTCAGTGTATTTACAGAGTTGCGCAGCCATCACCGCTGTCTCGTTAGGGAGCCTTTCATCACGCCCAAAGAAACCCCTTTGAACCAGTTTCCTTCTTTTTCCCGAGTTCCGTCTTCCCCCAGCCCCGACGGCTGCTCATCTGCTGTCTGTGCACTCGCCTGTGCTGGACACTTCATAGGAACAGACTCGTTAGCGTGTGGTTCCTGCGTCTGGCTTCTGTCACTTGGTGTCCTGTTTCAGGGTCCAGCCGTGTTGTTGCATGAATCTGCCCTTTCTTCCTTTTTGTGGCTGAGTAATATTCCACCGTGCACCAGGCCACGCTCTGTTTGGAAATCTGCCCTCACCTGCAACCCGCACATCTCAGCGGCCTTGCCTCGTGCTTCTCACCCTGCTGTCCCTCTGCCACCCTCGGGAGCCCCTCCGCCGGCCCATGAGTGGTAAATGCACGAATTGAGGGTGTTTGGGGTGTGCGATCAAGCTCGCCAGTGCCCTTTTTTTTTTTTGAGACCAGGTCCCACTCTGTCACTCAGGCTGTAGTGCAGTGGCACAGCCATGGCTCACTACAGCCTTGAACTCCTGGGCTCAAGGGATCCTTCTGCTTCAGCTTCCCAATAGCTGGGATCACAGGTGCGCACCACCACGCCTTGCTCATTTTTTATGTTTTTGTAAAGATGGAATCTCACTATGTTCAAGACCTCCTGGACTCAAGTGATTCTCCCAGCTCATCCTCCCAAGGTGCTGGGATGACAGGTGTGAGCCACTGCACCTGGCCATGTTGTAGATTTTGATGAAGTCCAGTTTATCTTTTATTTTTCTTTTGTTGCCTGTGCTTTTGGTGTTACAGGTAAAAATTCATTGACACGTCTAATGTCTTGAAGTGTTTCTTCATGTTTTCTTCTGAGAGTTTTAGTTTCAGGTCTTATTTTTAGGTTTTTGATCCGTTTTGAGTTAAATTTCGTATATGGTATAAGGTAAGTGTCCAGGTTCATTCTTTTCTCAGAAACTGTTTAGTGAGGATTTTCTGTTAGTCATTTGCTGATTGACTCCTTTCTAGGGAAACTAAAATAGAAAGGTCTCCCACAGATGGACCTTGGATGTGGTTTTCCCAAGTCCCTTAAACCCTCACCCTCCCGTCCACCACCTGCCCATCCACTGCCTGCCCATCCACCGCCTGCCCATCCACCGCCTGCCCATCCATGACCCCACCTGTCCACAGGCCCCCTGCCTGCCTGTCCATGGCCTGCCCATCCGCCACCCACCTGTCCATAGCCCGCCTGTCCACCGCCTGCCCATTCACGGTCTCCCTGCCTGTCCGTCCACCACCTACCTATCCACCGCCCACCCGTCCATGGCGCCCCCATCCACCACCCGCCCATCCATGGCCCCCCTGTCCACAGTATCCTGCTCAGCCCCCCTCACTGCAGCTGGGTTTCTTCATGAAATACACGTGAGCCCACGCCCTGCCGTGTTCTGGGAGGTGCCGCACACCGTGCCCATCCTTCCTCTGGCCTTGCCTCCTGTGCGGCCCCTTTCCAGCTCGGATGCTGAGCAGCGTCTCACTCGGAGGGAGTGTGGAGCCGGAAGTGGGGCACAGATCTAGGGTCCAGGGGGACAGGGAGAAGGTGCACAGCCTGGCCACCCCTGCCCTCACTGCACTGCCAGCCCCACAGGCAGCCAGCCCCCGACACCCCTGGCGCCTCTGCCCTCTGATGCCCCCAATCCCCCCTAACCTCACCACACTCCAACCCCCCCAATCCCTCTAACCTCACCCCTCAGCACCCCCAACTCCCTTGACTTCACCACCTCCCATCACCCCACCTGTGCAGCCCATGCCCTGGCCCTGGTGCTGTAAGGACGGGTCAATTGCAGGCACATCACACGCCTTGCAGGCTTCTTGGCAGGTTTGTCTCCATTCACCTTTTCCCTGCAGCTGTGTCCCCCGGACAGCACATGTCCACCTGCCTCCTTTAAGTTGCTAATTTCTGTGAGTGCTTATGAGTATATTTTCTACAGAATACATCATCTAGCAAATGACATCGTGCAGGAGGGATACGGTACGGATTTACTGAGCCTCACTGCCTGAGGCGTGTTGTAGAACTCAAGGTCAACTCGTTGAATCCCCAGAATGTCCTAGGGGTGGTCCCTGTCTCTTCCCGGTAACATCTGAGGAACAGGAGACCGTAGTTAACCTGAGGGGGGCTGCGCCCCAACCAGGCCTCAGATTCCAGTGCTGGGCATTCCCTGCACTGTCCCGCTTCTCAGAGAGTAAGATTAATTTGAAGAATTTTAGTTTTTTTTTTTAAAGAGACAAGTGTCTAAGCTGGCCTCAACTCCTGGGCTCCAGTGATCCTCCCTCCTCGGCCCCTGAATAGCTGGGACTGTAGGTGCCCACTGCACCTGTCCTGACGTCAGCGTCTTTTACGTTGAGTTAGTATTTGTACCAAGGCTCTTTCGGGGGGGTGTGATCAAGATTACGTGGCTCCTCTGACCCTGACCTCTCACTGGGTCCCCGTCTCCCTGACCTTGACCTCTCACTGGGTCCCCGTCTCTCCTCCCTGACCTTGACCTCTCCCTCGGTTCCGGTCTCTCCTCACTGACCCTGACCTCTCGCTGGGTCCCCGTCTCCCTGACCTTGACCTCTCACTGGATCCCCGTCTCTCCTCCCTGACCTCTCACTGGGTTCCCATCTCCCTGACCTTGACCTCTCACTGGGTCCCCGTCTCCCTGACCTTGACCTCTCACTGGGTCCCCGTCTCTCCTCCCTGACCTTGACCTCTCCCTCGGTTCCGGTCTCTCCTCACTGACCCTGACCTCTCGCTGGGTCCCCGTCTCCCTGACCTTGACCTCTCCCTCGGTTCCGGTTTCTCCTCACTGACCCTGACCTCTCGCTGGGTCCCCATCTCCCTGACCTTGACCTCTCCCTCGGTTCCCGTCTCTCTTCACTGACCCTGACCTCTTACTCAGTTCCCAAGTTCCCGTCTCTCCTCCTGACTCTGATCTCTTGCTCGGTTCCCGTCTCCTCACTGACCCTGATCTCTTTCTTGGTTCCCGTCTCTCCTCTTACCTTGACCTCTCCCTCAGTTCCTGTCTCTCCTCCTCTGACCCTGATCTCTTGCTTGGTTCCTGTCTCTCCTCACTGACCTCGACCCCTCACCTGGATCCTAAGTTGTGCTGAGGCTGCTTCTCCCTCTCGCCCTAGACTTCGACCCCCACCACTTCTGGCAGTGGAGCAGCTTCTCGGACTATGTGCAGTGCGTCCTGGCCTTCACGGGCGTGGCAGGCTACATCACCTACCTGTCCATTGACTCCACCCTGTTTGTGGAGACCCTGGGCTTCCTGGCCGTGCTGACCGAAGCCATGCTGGGCGTGCCGCAGCTTTACCGCAACCACCGCCACCAGTCCACGGAGGGCATGAGGTAGGCCGGGGATGCTGCCATGGGAGCGTCACTGCCCCAGAGGCACCACATGGCTGCAGGTTTGGTAAAAATCAAACGCCTGTGTGACTGGCTGTGTATTTCCCATGTTGACCTGTGAAGCTGCCGGTTAAAGAATAGTCAGGTTTATAGGCCTTGGCCCCTTGATCTTGTGTTGGAGCAGATGAGCTTGTGTGGGCCACGTGGGGGCAGCCGAGACCCTGTTGCCGGCACTCTACCCAGCACGGGGTTGGGAGCTGTTCCTTCAGGGCCGTTGAGGCAGAACCTTCCAGTGGGAGGGATGTCCGAGTGCCTGGCCACACGGGGCAGAGCAGGCTCGGCCCACCACGCCAGGAGGAGTGCCGGGCAGCCAGCCTGGCCCAGGGTCAGGGCGGGTCTGATGGGGCAGGGAAGGTGGTGTGGGGGCTGCCTTGGACACTGTCCTCGGTCTCTCCCCACTGGGCCCAGCATGGCCTCTGGCCTCTGAGGTATGCGGTAGAAGGCTGGGCAGGCTGATGTTCGGAACCACTGACCACGCCTGGGCGCCCTGCACCAGTGCGTGCTGGGACACCCCCGTGACCGCCAGGGATAGGGCACGATGTAAGCAGCACGATTCCCACGGGCTCAGTCAAGGTCCTGGATGGAAACCACATTGTAATAAAAACAGATCTGCTTGCTGCAGCAGCGGCAGAAAACTCTCGTCTCTCACACCTTCAATACCCAGGCCCGCTCCTCACTGAGGACCCCCCCGGTGCCCGCTCCTCACTGAGGACCCCCCCCGGTGCCCGCTCCTCACTGAGGACCCCCCCCGGTGCCCGCTCCTCACTGAGGACCCCCCCCCGGTGCCCGCTCCTCACTGAGGACCCCCCCGGTGCCCGCTCCTCACTGAGGACCCCCCGGTGCCCGCTCCTCACTGAGGACCCCCCCCGGTGCCCGCTCCTCACTGAGGACCCCCCCGGTGCCCGCTCCTCACTGAGGACCCCCCCGGTGCCCGCTCCTCACTGAGGACCCCCCCCGGTGCCCGCTCCTCACTGAGGACCCCCCGGTGCCCGCTCCTCACTGAGGACCCCCCCGGTGCCTGCTTCTCACTGATGACACCCCTGGGCCCCCACACTGTGCTTGGGTCTGGTCTCCGTCACAGATGCTGAGGCTGTGATTTGGAGGGAATGTTATTCTTGGATTTGTTATTTTTGGGAAACAGCCTGGAAGAGAGGGGCTGATGTGTTTTTGTGTTTGAGAACGGGTGCCCAGGGACCATAGCACCCCCTCTAGGGCTTTCCTGTATTTGCAGGTTTGGTGTGAGGGCCGGGGTCCTGTGGGGTGTAGGTTCAGTTGCTGGTTATAGGTAAAGGTAGGAGGGCTTGTTGCAGGTGTGGGGTGGTGGTAGGGGGTGAGATGTAGGTACAGGTCAGGGTTACAGGTGTGGGTTGCAGTTACGGGTGTGGGTTGTAGGTAGGGGTGTGCGTTGTAGGCACAGGTGTGGGGTGAAGGTATGGGTTGGGGTATGGGGCATGGGGTGCAGGTGTGGGTTCTAGGCATGGGTGTGGATTACAGTTATGGGTGTACAGTGTAGGTATGGGTGTGGGACGTAGGTACAGATATGAAGTGTAGGTGTGGTTGGGGTGGGGGTATGGGGTGCAGGCGTGTGCTGTAGGCATAGGTGTGGCAGGTACAGGTGTGTGCTGTAGGCATAGGTGTGGCAGGTAGGTACAGGTGTGGGCTGTAGGTACTCCTGTGGGACATGGGTATGGGTGTGAGGCATATTAGGTGTGGGCTGCATTTATGAGTGTAGGTTGTAGGCAGAGGTGTGATTTGGAGGGAATGTTATTTGGGTATGGATGTGAGGTGTAGGTACGGGTTGGGGTGTGGGGTGCAGGTGGGGGTTGTAGGTATAGGTGTAGGGCATGGGCATGGGTGTGGGGTGTATTAGGTGTGGGTTGCAGTTATGGGTGTGGGTTGTAGGTAGAGGTGTGGGGCATGGGTCCAGGTGTGGGGTGTTGGCATGGGTGTGAGGCAGGGACAGGTTGGGGTGTGGGGTGGGGTGTGGGGTGGGGTGTGGTGTGGGTGAGCTGCCCTGGCTGGTGTGATTACAGTGAATCAAGACCACGGGGGTTGCTGGGGTTTCCCGGGTGAGGGTGCGTGGAGGCCCGAGAGCGTGTCCATGGCTGGAACAGGCTCCCTCACTGTTGGGTTGGGCAGTGGCAGCCCTGAGGGCTTCGTACGGGACCCGAAAGGCAAGGATGCTTCCCGAGAGAAAGTGGGTCTCAGGGCAGGCGTTGCGTGTGGGCTCCCTGGCTGGACGTGGGCCCGATCCGGCAGAGTGTGGGGTCCCCAGCCACCCCACAGCTGGAGATCCTGTGGGCAGTGCCCGGGTGCCGAGCTTGCAACCTGGAGATCTGTGGGAGGTACCTGGGTGCCAGGCCTGTGCCCTCCTGAGCGTCACCACAGCCTCGTGGTGAGGTTCTCAGTAGATCAGGACCCCACGTGGTGGCCTCCTGGCCCCTCTCATGAGGAGCTGGCCGTGTGTGGCCTTGGCCTGGCCTGAGAGGGCTGCTCACAGGGGCCTGGGCTTGGCGGGAGCCATTGTCCCCGGTCCCAGGGGAGCAGGTTTTGCTGTTCAGCGCAGGCACATTGTTCAAAGTCTCAGCCCAGGGCCTGCCCTGTCGGTTGTGGGGACGTGGGAATCCTCAAACCCATTTCCAGATGCCAGCCGAGGCGGCCCTGCAGGCAGGCCTGTCTCAGGCCCCCGAAGTCTGCCCTTCTCACACACGGGGAAGGCTCCAGAAACACCTGTGGAAGGGGGGTCTGTGTGTGGAAGAAACACATTGGACATGCGTTTCCTGTTCTCACTCACGCCACCACAGGCGGCACACACACTTTCGTGTGCAGGAGTGCGTGGGTTTCTCCCCAGCACCGAGCCAGCAGTCAGTCCTGCAGGAAGCACTGCGGGTACGGCAGCGCCACGGGTACGGGGGCACCGCGGGTACGGGAGCACTGCGGGTACAGGGGCACCGCGGGTACGGGAGCACTGCGGATGGGGAGCACTGCGGGTACGGCGGCACTGCGGGTACGGGAAGCACTGCGGGTACGGGAGGCACTGCGGGTACGGGAGGCACTGCGGGTACGGGGAGCACTGCGGGTATGGCAGCACTGCGGGTACGGCAGTACCCCATGCCTGGCTGGACGAGTCTGGGGTCTATTTGGGGGACGTTGCCTCTGCATGGCCTGAGGGAGGGTTTTGGGAGGGTTCTCAGCTGAAGGGGAAAGGAAACGACCACTCCAGGCCCGGCTTTTGTGCCACACGTCCTTCCTTCTCCTGCTCTGACGCCGCGTTTTGCCTTGGCCCCGGGTTTTAGCATCATCCGAGCATGAATTCTGGAGGCCCAGCAGCTGCCTTCCACAACCTGAGACGCCACGGGGTGTCGGCCCCCCATATTCCACCTGGCGGCCTAGGGAAGGCAGGGCCTGCAGGGCTCGGGCCAGCGAGGTGGGGGCTGTTCCTGAGGTTCTCTCTGGGCAGGGCTGAGTCAGGAACCGGCTGTACCTGCGCGTCTGAAGCTGCGTCTCCTTGGGCCTGTGGGCCCTGCCCACCTTCCTCCCTCGGCGCCGCGGACTGTGGGGCACAGGGTCCCACCTCTGCCCCCTTTGCTGTGTGGTCTCCTGGCTTCTCTGCATGGGGTCCAGGCCGCCGCTCTGTGGACCTTCAGCCCTCCCCAGCCTGGGCTCCACTTGCTCTCCAGACGTGGCTTGGGCAAGGGGAACGTCTCCCCTTCGCCACTTCCTGGGTGCTCCTGTGGTACCTGCCTGTTCCTCCTGGCCCACGGCAGCCTTGCTGGAGTGACCCCCACGTCCTGCTGTCAGACGGCTCCCTGTCTGGAGGCAGGTCAGAGGCGTCTCAGGTTCCTGTGTGCTCCCACCTTCCTGATGGGGCATTGTGGTACCCCCAGCCCTGTCAGGATTTGTGATTGTTGAAGCCATTGTGGGTATTGGTTTCTGAATGCAGGTTTGATAGATCATGTGTGCTTCCTGTATAATCTCCAGGTTCGTGTTTAAGATGACATATTTAAAATGTGCATACAAACGTACTTACAGATACGTAAAAAACCAAGATTTGGGGCTGGGCTTGGTGGCTCACGCCTGTAATCCCAGCAGTTTGGGAGGCCAGGGCAGGTGGATCATAAGGTTAGTTCAAGACCAGCCTGGCCAAGATGGTGAAACCCCGTCTCTACTAAAAATGCAAAAATTAGCTAGGTGTAGTGGCAGGCACCTGTAATCCCAGCTACTCGGGAGGCTGAGGCAGGAGAATCACTTGAACCTGTGAGGTGGAGGTTGCAGTGAGCCAAGATCATGCCACTGCACTCCAGCCTGGGCAACAGAGTGAGATTCAGTCTAAAAAAAAAAAAAAAAGTCATGACTTTGGTGGCGAATGGTGACGTGAGCCTGAAACGTGACAGCCTGAAGGCTCCAGCTCCTTTTCTCTGGGGACCTGCTGGTGCCACTGCCCTGGGTGAGGGAGGCGTGCTGCCTGGAGTCCGCCCTGGGACCCGCAGCCTCAGCTCCACGTTAAATCGAAGGTCCCTAGGATGTTTGATAGGAAGCGACTCGAGAACTCCCAGGTCAATCTCACAGCAGCCCTGCTTCTGGAAAGTCCTGCGTCTCGTGTACATGCACACACGTGCACAGGCTGGCGTGCACCGCTGCCTCCATGCATGCACACACACACAGCCGTGCACACACGGTTCTACCTTGGAGCAACTGCCGGATGCATTTTTGAACAGTGACTTCCCTTTAGAAAATACTACGTGGTGGTAGGTTCTGAACCAGTAACGAGACACGATAAAGCTTCAGAAACAGCTTACTAATTAACGCAGCAGGCTCTGAAGGGCGGATTCTCTGAGAGTGTTTGCATTCCTCTTCCTCTAGTTTTTACTGGGTTTGAAGACTGTTACCTAACGAGGATTGGAGGGTGACATGGGCGTAGACGATGAGGGCGGCCGGGGAGC